CCATCACCACGGTTGTCGCCACCACACCACAACCATCACCGTCTCCCACCACCACCGTTGTCGCCCACCACCACTACAACCACTCATCTCCACTACAATTGATGCTTTAATNCACCCACACCCCCCATCACCACCACTGTCACTCATGGCTGCCATTATCACCATCGTCAACCAAAACCCATCACCACGGTTGTCGCCACCACACCACAACCATCACCATCTCTCACCACCACCGTTGTCGCCCACCACCACTACAACCACTCATCTCCACTACAATTGATGCTTTAATTTTTTTTTTCTCTCCTCTATGTTTGTGATTTAATTTTAGATGTGAATAAAAATATGTTTATTATTGACCATTTTTTTTTATTCATTCGTGCCTTTAGGTGCGGGCAATAAACTAATATATAAACAAAGTAGAATTGTTGGAAATACAATAACTTCATTTGAAAACCTCTAATTATTAAGGAGCACAAGTGTACCTAAAGAAGTACTATAGATTAAAAGTTAACAAAATCTAACACCANTATTCATTCGTGCCTTTAGGTGCGGGCAATAAACTAATATATAAACAAAGTAGAATTGTTGGAAATACAATAACTTCATTTGAAAGCCTCTAATTATTAAGGAGCACGAGTGTACCTAAAGAAGTACTATAGATTAAAAGTTAACAAAATCTAACACCTATTCAGCTGATGCATTTGAAGTGGCAACATCGTTGTTATATCATATTGTACAATAGAGAACATAATAATAATATGGATCAACCCCCATAAATAAATAGCGATTCAAGCTAGGATCCCAAATTGTTTACTAAAAAGTGAATTCTAAATAAAATGGTATTCTACATCATTTGGGATGCCCACATTTTATTTTATTGTAATGAGCCCTTTAATATGATGGATACACTACTACATCATTTGGAATCCAATTTTTTGATAAACTACTTTGGATCTATAGCATTACTCACAGATAGCATGTACTACAACTTAAAATATGCAAACTCAAACGTAGTTTGTCGTGAACTAATACATAACTCGAAAGTTCGAAATCGTAGCACAAAAAATTGGAAAAACTTAGAACATAAGGAAAAATAAAAGAAAAATTATTTGAAAGTCGATTGGAGAAATTATTTGTTCAAAAGTACAAAAGTTGTTTGATTAAAAATATGAATTTGAAATACTAAAGTATCAAGGATACCTTTTTTCACACAATAATTATTAATGATCCACTTTTTGAACTCAATTGAAAATCAATTGAGGAGTGATCCCAATCACAATATGTAGCGATGATAATATTGAAAACATCAAAATTATAATCAATGAATTATCTGAATAAATATAAGAATTTACTTGTAAATCACAATCATTTATCATGCCTAGAGTTTACGATAAATCAAGTTTTTCAATAGGTAAAACCTATTTTATTATAAATAATAAATCAACTATTTTATGAAAGTTATAATTAATTAATTTAATTATGGAACAAACAATTATTTGACTCGCAATAAATGTCAAGCATTCGATGTATGTGGCATATCGAATTAGGAAATTATATAGAGTAAATTTTTTACTAAAAGACAATAATTAAATTAAAAGAATAAATCATTCATTAAAAATATTGGATCAAGAAAAAAATATTGTACTTTCTTGAAAGTATCTCTCATAAGTTTAGTTGAGGATTTAACTATTCATAAAAATACAAAAACTAGGTAAAGAAAAGGGTGGTAAAAGAATGCATACGGGCAAAATCTATACCCCTTTATATAGGTTTTAGGAAGAAAAAACCTAATTAACATAAAAAAAAATTAGGGTTATTGGCTGAATGTCGTTATCGCCTTCAGACGCGCCTTTCCTACCATCTGAACGCACCTCAATGTCTTGGGCTTTTTGTTCATCGCGTTCAGACATATGTTTTGGACCATCCGAGCGCACTCATTCTTCTATCCAGGCGTGTGTCTTTGGCTCTTTCTTTAGCAACTATTGGAAGTCACATCCGGACGCACTTGATCCACTGTCCAAACACAATAGGCAGAGTCTTCCTTTTTGCTCTTTAATACTTCAGATCCACTCCATTTGTGTGCCTTGTCCTTCATAGTATTAATTCAACCAATTCACCAACAAAAATGGACAACACACTACAAAAAAAGAGATAATATCTAAACATTATCAATTTAACACATTTAACGCAATGCCCAATGTAATTAGTCAATCATTAATATAAAAATAACACAATATTCAATACTAATCATCCCCCAACCTAGCTATTGCTAGTACCTAGTTAGACAAAAATAAAATAAAATAAACATACATCCATTTTCGTATGACTCGCTATTGCATTTAATATATGCAACAAGCATTTAAACTACTATAATATAAAATGTGTATATAATTATATTATATTAAACTATATAAATCCTAAACCATGCACTAATTTAGACAGACTATAGTAAAAACAGTGCACTTATAGGGATGCAGATCAGCACGAACAATAAATATGAACAAACCAGAATTTCAATCCGACTTTGTGAAACACAATCTCCTTAAGATATATTCGCTCCCTCTCGGTGCTCAAGGTGAATGAGCAAATGTCTCCCAATATAGAACGGATTTTCCTTTTTGACGAAACAGTACTTCAATCTTCAAGATTCTAGCGAACACAACTTATGTTTATACTTGAACCAATCAAAAGAAAAACGTAACAATCTGCAAAGAGAGAGAAAAATTCTGAAATTGGAATCCAGAATGAGATGAAATGAAATGGCAAAGGGACAATCTACTTATAGACCATTGGTGGTTGTTCAGATTGTCTGAAAAGGCATGGGTTGCCACTGTTCAGATTGAAGAGACAAACTCTTTAATCTAAACAGGCTAGAGGCCTCTCCTAGATGAACAGTCTCTCTAGAAATAGACCCATGGAATGAACCTAAACCCCTTTTGGCACCAAATTCAAACCGTAACAGAGAACAATTTTAAAAATTCGGTTGAATTTAAATTTCAGTTAGGATTTTTAATTCTGATCCGCATTTGGATCTGATTGATTTGACCCATGATTCGCACCGCTCCAAATAAATTATAATTTTTTGGCCCGAGACCGGGTCGAACGATGCGCACGTGTGATAAGCAAGGTAGTGTAGGCGCTTGTTCCGCTCACAAAAGTGTGATACTCCTTGGGGTCTAAAGCCAAGAAGCCAATTAAGAATATATTAACTCACCAAAGTGTTGGTCTCTTCCAATATGAGACAAACTTTATTTTACTACACCAATCTTAGTTTAGGTTATCACTTCAAATATATCACTTTGAGACATTCTCATTCAAATATTAATGATTTTGAATAAATAAATATACCACGTTAATCTTCTCACATAGGAGAATGCGTTTAAACTTGATCCCACTAATTATGAAGTGTGGGTCCCACTTTTATTTAAGAGTAATATTATTGAAACCAAAAAATCTGATCTAATTTACTAACATAATAATGTGGTTTCATAGGAATCATTGGATCAACACCAAGTTCCAATGTTTGATATAATCTATAGTCAATTCAAAGGTCACAGTTAATTAAATCAACAAATTATGCCAGTAAATTAGGTCCTAATAACATTACTCTTTATTTAAGCCTCAAATTACTCAAATAAACTTGTTTAAAACCTATTTTTTCTACAACTACTAGGTTATCCATCGTGGACGAGTATAGTCTTGTGAGGGTTTTCAGAGACAATACCCACAAATATCACCTTACCATGAAATATTTGAATAATAATTTCATAACACAAATTGCTATCACAATATAAAAACTCTAAACTGCAAGCGTTTCCATAAGCATGTCAAAGCAAAATATAAAACTCAAATGAACGTATACACTTATTATATTCTCATATAAACTTGTGTGAATCAACTCCACCAAGTCACTATTTCATCTAATAATCACCCCTACAGCTATTAATTATTTGTCTCAATGTCAAACCTCACTAGATTATACACTAATTAAGAATTTTCTCAGCTATTCGCTCAATTATCGCATAAATCTCACCTTGCAAACAAGTTGGAATGATATTGCGGTTCTCCTTGTCACGACGCTTGTTTTTGCCCAGTGAGTATTCCCTCCACAGGCAATATAAGTGTAATGAAAGACACTTTTTTTGTTCTTGATATTTCGCACTCGCAGGCAGAAGAGAAGTTAATAAGCAACATATCAAGATTCGTGGTGATTGTTTGGGTGTTCGTGGTGCTGGTGCTGACATCGTGTTACACCGCCAGCTTGACGTCGATGTTAACAGTCCAAAAGCTTCAACCGACGATCACTGATATCAACGATCTGATTCAGAATGGGGAATACGTTTGTTGGGTACCAGAATGGTTCATTTGTTGAGGGACTTTTGGAGAGAAAGAAGTTGGACAAGTCCAAGTTCATTATGTACGTAGAGCACACCTGAACAGTACGATGAAGCCCTCACCAGTGGCAGTAGAAATGGATTGGAGGCGTTGCTGCAATTGTTGACGAGTTCCCTTATATCAAGTTCTTCCTTGCAAGATATTGTAGAAAGTACACCATGGTTGGTCCCACCCCACCTACAAGACTGCAGGCTTTGGATTTGTAAGCCATCTCTCTTTCTCTCCTTTCACTTCAATCCCTCCATCATTGATATGATCTGCATGTTTGCGGAGATATACATCTGTACTTAACAGCTAACAATTGCAAACCCAATAAATATATTTTTTCTCCTTGTTTTTTTTTTTTGGTGCAGGGAGGAGATTTGAACTCATGATCTCAATAAGTCAAAATTTTCATAAAATAAAAAATATCATTAAATCAAAAGCCAATCGGTTCCTTGCCGTTGATGCAAGCATTTCCCCAATATGTGACGTTTCAAGAGCAAGCTTGAACGTGAGAGAGGGAGATAAAATGGCAAGATTTACGCAAGAATGGTTCGGAGATGAAGCTGACTGTCTAGAGCAAGATGGAGCTGTTGTCACCTCGGCTCATATAGCCTGAAGCTCTAAAGTTTTACGGGCCTTTTCCTCATCGCCAGCCAGCATATCATCATCTCATCTTCTGCTCTCATCATTTTCTTATTGATCTTCCTGCATGAGAACAGGGATGTATTAGCCTCCCATAATTCTAATAGTCAAAATTTTTGATGCGGAAAAAGAGAACTCACCTAATGTTTCCAAAAAGAAGATCGCTAAACCAAATGACGAGCTGGCCACAACAGCTAATGCAGTTCCGATCCATGACTCCATAGCCATTACAGAAACCACTGGAGAAAGATGATGCTTACTCTTTTCAAAACATGTCTTTCAATGCGTGTATGTAAGCTTCTCTATATATGTTAGCGTTCGCCACAATCACATAAACAATGTCGAGGCGGAGGCGGGTGTAACTAAATCCTCTTTCTTGGCAAAACATAAGCTGGCTTCATGGCATACCCTCAGGGATCTGGGAAGAGATCTCTCTGCTCTGAAATGAGAAGCTTGATATCTGCTGCTATCAAAGTCCATATATCTCATCCTATTCTCGGTTCATATTGTTTGTCTTTAATTTTGCTACATGAATACCTACTCCTACTCCTGCTCCTGGATACTGATCAAATCGGAATGTTACATTTTTACTGGTTAGGGTCTTTTATCTTTTCAAAATAAATGGCTTAAGGATAATGAGAAAATATTTTTTGCTTTCGACTTATTAAGACTTGTTCAATGGTCACCCAGAGTCCCTAGTGTAATTGAACCCTTGCCACCTCTCTCTAATACCAGGGTCCAGAGCCTTTCCTTCTTTCATTGAATTCTATCACACGCAAAAATAAAAGCCATATGACTTTCAGAGTCAACAAGGTTATATCCAGACACAACTTGTTTCCTCCTCCGACATCCCATCAAAACACCCATTAAACAAACTAATAGACACATACATTTGGACAAATTCAAATTACAGACATATATTTTAGGCATCCTCGTTTCACGCATCCTCTATACAATTAACATGCTGCAACTGCAATGTCTGATTGCTTCAATGAATAAACGGCTAACTAATACTTACCCACGGTTGTCAAAGAATAGAACAGATTTGTATTCAAGATCAAATAATGAATCAACATATACAAACGCAAATCCTCCCTCAACTGGAAAAATAAAAAAAAATAAAAAAAATTTGAAATCCTAATTTTATGGCCATGCATACATCAAATTACAGAATGGTGGTGTCCTGCAATACAATGATAAGAAAGGGAGAAACCAAACAAAAGAACAAAAAGATTGAACATCGAAAATTGAAATGAAAAAGGGAAAGCTTACTATGAATACAAGGACTGCTAGCAATTTCGCAAGGGCCTTCAGTTGCTCTCTAATTTACAAAAGGCTAATCATTTGCACATTAGGAACTCCCATGAGATTTTATGGATGATATTGATTGTGCCGAGATCGATGCAGTTGGGCTGCTCAGATCCCGGTCCCCATTAGCAACTTTTGGCTTACCGCTCAGCCTTTCCATTGCTTCTTGGCAAATGTCAGTGAACCATTCATCTTCCGGAAGTATGCTGCACAACATTAGGAGTCGGCCTAAAGGAAGCTCAAATTTTACACATACCAAAACACAAATATGTAAGTAGAGCTTACTAATTATTTACTCTAAAAGTCGAAAGAATTTTTTTCCCCCTTTCAGGCGGATACAAACATAGCCAGATGCTCAGTTATCAGGCAGTCATTACCCACACGCGCGCCGGGGTTNCTTTCAGGCGGATACAAACATAGCCAGATGCTCAGTTATCAGGCAGTCATTACCCACGCGCGCTCCGGGGTTGGGGGGGGGGCTCAGGGAATTCATAAATTTAAGATCTGTTGATATATAACTGAAAATTCCAAATTGAAAATTCACAGACTTGATGCTCTAAATTATGGTGGCATACCTGTATGGATCCATCCCAGTTGCAGCAAAAGCAGCCACCACTTTAGATATGATCTCATTAACAACTCGATGCAAATTGCGAGATAAGTAACGCCCTTGGGAGGCAAAGCAGATTACAAACTTCATATCCAAATAGAACTGCACAATGTTCAACAAGTAAATCAAGATGCTAACCTTCAAGAGAGAAAAAAAACAAAATGCTCAAATTTTAAACCTGGGCAGAACAAAACAAATGCAAATACATAGGTGTCAACTTTATAAACCTGTTGAATACCAAGAGGACCTAATGGCCTTGGTCCTTCTTCGATATCATCCCAAAAACTTTGGTCTTCTGAAAGCCATAAGATGACAGTTTCTGTAAGCCTCATCAATAACAATGTAGCAAACCTTTCCCTGCCAACAAACATATCTGCTGCTATGGTAGCCATCCTATTAAGTTTTGTATAGAGGTCCTGAATACAAAGAGAAACAACAATGAAAAGTAAGAGTTTGCAATTAAGAGTAACAAGAAAAATGCAAAATGTGCACTAGTTTTTTATAAGAAAAATCCCTCATTAAAACAAAGTAACAAGCATAAGAAGTTGGTCTGGCATCTTAACCAGTTTGCAATCGAAAGTCTTTATTCCACTACTTGGATTCAGCAGCACAAGTCATCGTTTAGTTGATCAAGAACCGTCTGTAACACGCCGCTCTCGACGCATGCAAACTAAAGTTCTCTTGGGAGACTTGTATTTAGGAACCTGCTGTATTAACCTCTGAATACTTCCCATCTGACTACCCTGATGGGTTAGGGCCAAAATAAAACTCCCAAAAACAAAGCACCTCTACCAAACAGCAACAAATAAAAGAAGAAATATAAGGATAAGATAAAGAAAAGATACATTCGTCTAGTGAAACATACAACAGATCCTGTGCATCAGCATGCACACCTATTCCGGATATCAATGAAAGACACAATTTAAAGGGTATGACGAATATGAAAACATTAAGTTCAAAGTCAATCAACCACACATTTTTCTGAACTAGGAAAAGACTAATAGTTGTGTACCCACTACTTAAAATCTAATTGTTGAATCATAGTTCATACGATGCATGCATACAAAAGCCAAGATGCCAAGAGAACCATTCGTCCACCTCAAGGGCAAACATGATCCATATAAATTGTGACATCTGTAATAAAAATTTAAAATACTGAGAATCCACCAAAACAGGCAAAAGGGTGCAATTCATAACTAATCAAAATACTCGGAGCATGGTGTCAGTGCACTTTAAATATATCAAAAGCCAAGTTTCAGTCCTAATCAGCCTCATTCTGCAATAAGTGATAAATGTGTAATTATTTGGTCTTCTTGTACAGACAGCATACTCGGTGTCACAGGTACTGTTTGGATCGACCACATAAAACCCAAATGCAGTGGCTAGAATAAATTTTTAACATTAGATTGGANCAGTACTTCAATCTTCAAGATTCTAGCGAACACAACTTATGTTTATACTTGAACCAACCAAAAGAAAAACGTAACAATATGCAAAAAGAGAGAAAAATTCTGAAATTGGAATCCAGAATGAGATGGAATGAAATGGCAAAGGGACAATCTACTTATAGACCATTGGTGGTTGTTCAGATTGTCTGAAAAGGCATGGGTTACCACTGTTCAGATTGAAGAGACAAACTCTTTAATCTAAATAGGCTAGAGGCCTCTCCTAGATAAACAGTCTCTCTAGAAATAGACCCATGGAATGAACCTAAACCCCTTTTGGCACCAAATTCAAACCGTAACAGAGAACAATTTTAAAAATTCTGTTGAATTTAAATTTCAGTTAGGATTTTTAATTCTGATCCGCATTTGGATCTGATTGATTTGACCCATGATCCGCACCGCTCCAAATAAATTATAATTTTTTGGCCCGAGACCGGGTCGAACGATGCGCACGTGTGATAAGCAAGGCAGTGTAGGCGCTCNACAAAGTGGAAACAGCTGCTCTGCTTGTAAAGGTAAGGCTACGTATATCTAACCCTCCCCAGACCCCGCAGTGGTGGAAGCCTTGTGCACTGGGTCCAAGATAAACAAAGCAGTTAGTACCACGTTTTTAAAAAAAAAATCTCTACAATACATAAAACNTCCTTGGGGTCTAAAGCCAAGAAGCCAATTAAGAATATATTAACTCACCAAAGTGTTGGTCTCTTCCAATATGAGACAAACTTTATTTTACTACACCAATCTTAGTTTAGGTTATCACTTCAAATATATCACTTTGAGACATTCTCATTCAAATATTAATGATTTTGAATAAATAAATATACCACGTTAATCTTCTCACATNACAGAATAATGTTTCTACATATAGAGCCCCGCTCACACATCTATAGTTACTAAAACAGAGTGGCTTGCTTACATAAAGCATAAGAGCAGGACAGGTCGATTAGATCTGACAACTTATATTTTAACCTTTAAACAACGATAAATCTATCTATTGACCTTTAAGGCTTTAACCTTTTAGCCTAAATATGATTATTATACTTACTTTTTAACCACAATAAATATTTTAACTACAGTAAATATTTTAACCATGAAAAACATGTAACCATAAGGAGAAAAACGTGAAATCACTTACATAACAGAATAATCCAATTAATTAGTTTCGTACGAATGATTAGGTTATCATAACAAATGGCACATGCTGCAATTCACTAACAAGTGCATGCATCTTTCAAAACTGCTCTAAGCAAGGATTATCAACCTCAGAGATTAGACTAAAGGCACACATTGATAATGCTCAGAGGCTATGATGGCACAAAGACATCGTTCTGAAAACTTCAATTCACCTGAATTTGAGGTTTTCCACAAACAGTTCATGATTTAATCACCTTTACTTATAAAACATGACAGGTCACAAATCAACAAAGCCTTGTCCCAACATCGGTGGTGTCACCATGTCAGCTACATGAATCTTGTTTTGTTATTGTGCTCTACTGCTCTAATATATAGTAAGAGTCATGTTTTCTATAAAACCATAAGTTATCATATCTTTTGTTACTATTTCATTTAAAATTAATTTTAGACTTCCTCAACCTCTACGCTTATCGTCAATAGCTATCATATCACTCTTTCTCACCAGTGTCGTAGTAGACCGTCCATAGATATTTCCAAACCACCTAAGTCGATTCTTCCTTAATTTATCTTCTATATGTGCTACTTCCACTTTTTCACAAATATATTTGTTCCTAATTCTATCCTTTCTAGTTTTACCACATATCAATATTAGNACCTAAGTCGATTCTTCCTTAATTTATCTTCTATATGTGCTACTTCCACTTTTTCACTTTTTCACAAATATATTTGTTCCTAATTCTATCCTTTCTAGTTTTACCACATATCAATATTAAGTATTAACATTCCCACTCCTGTCAAACTTAATTTTTGAATGTGTTATTTCTCAGTTGCCTGAACCTTTACATATCTCTACTAATAATAAATATCTAGGTTACCTGATTTGGGTTAAAATAAAAAAAAATACATTAAAACAACATGACTATATCGGTCAAATTAAGAAATAGAATGAATATGAGCATGAAATAAGATGAGTTGATATAGGAACAAGATTTTGAAAGCGAGCATAAGCATACAATCCTTTATTACATAACAATGCAATGAGCATCTAGGTCCTATANCTGATTTGGGTTAAAATAAAAAAAATACATTAAAACAACATGACTATATCGGTCAAATTAAGAAATAGAATGAATATGAGCATGAAATAAGATGAGTTGATATAGGCACAAGATTTTGAAAGCGAGCATAAGCATACAATCCTTTATTACATAACAATGCAATGAGCATCTAGGTCCTATAATGATAGTTAGAATGGAATCTAAAGTGACATGTTCACCTAAATGGAACGAAACAATTATTCATAGTGAAGTAATTGTGGTCAAATCAACAGAACAGAAAAATTGAATCAACCAAGAGTAGGGGTATCGAGTACTCAAATTGTCTAATTGAAGAACTCCGAAACAACAGTCAATTATAAACATTACTCTATTCACAATCTTCTAGGTATGAAAAGATGCTCACAAATATAAAGAAATGTACACAACATCCTAAAAGACATATAGATTACCAAATGTGATTTTAACAAACTAAAAGGAAACATTTTAATAACGTTGAGATAAAACCACATTTTGACATCAACCCCTAAGAAGTACCTGGAATATTGAAGAGGGAAACCATTCAACTTCATCCACATTTCCATCCATGTTTATGTACATTTCTGCACTAAGATGGCTATCACCATCCTCTGTAAAAATAAGATCTAGAGCATGTTGTCGACAAAAACTATCTTTTAATCTATCGACTGAGCTCAGGAGACGTCTCTTCCATTCCCTTTGCTCTGGATGACGGTTTTGCCTATCTGAAGGTCTTTTCCGAGCATCATCTTTGTAGTTAGCCGGATTCAGCAGCGCGAGCTTCATAGCTGGACGAGGTAACAGTTCGTCTGCTAATAAGGACGCATTTGCAAGCAATGCAATTTGCTGGGCTTCAGTCTCAGCCATTCGAACAATTTTATTTCCAGAACCTTCAAAGTTTGCTTCTTCTTCCATTGAACCCGGTAATGCTTTGATAAGCATGTTAATGTATGAGTTAAACACCTGGAACAAACCTTCTAATGTTTTACCTCCCAACTGCATACTTAGAAGTGGCCCCACATCCTCGAAGAAATCCTGCAAGGAATTGGAATATAAAGCAATATGATTCAGACTAGTAGCTCACCAATGTAAAACAGTAATCATATAGCAGATACAATTGACCACTCTTNCACATCCTCGAAGAAATCCTGCAAGGAATTGGAATATAAAGCAATATGATTCAGACTGGTAGCTCACCAATGTAAAACAGTAATCATATAGCAGATACAATTGACCACTCTAAAATTAGAAATTGACTTTCGAGATGGTAAAACTGAGATGCTCAGAGAAAAAGTAACATGCCAAAAACCAAAAGATCTAGGTGCAATTTAAGTTCGCCTAGTGTTAAAGGTGGGGCTACTACAAGGCGCGGAATCCCTTCATCTACCACGTAAACAATCCATAAAAAGAAAGCAACCAACTATGAACACAGAAATTTTGTGTATTAAACATAATTGTTAACCTAAACTGGATATCAGAAGAGTACTCAACAAGTATGCCAAGATAGGGAGCAAAAAATACTCAGGAATATAGCTCAGCAACCGAGATGCCTGAATAAGGAGCATATCCTTGGACTATACAAGTCTTTTAAGGTCAAATAAACAACAAAGTGAAACAAGATATTGCTCAGTTCAAGAGGGATAGGCCACATAAATGAGCACACTGCAAAAATAGCAAACAATTACATAAAGGGGACAAATGGAAGCGGCTGGAATCTGAAACAAGCAAAGTTAAATTAGCAAGCCTTACGATCTAACAGTTTTGGATTTGGTTGTATGAATCAAATCATGATCTATCAACGTCTTGGGTGATTTTCGTGCCATCCATGAGCACCTTTCACCCTTAAATGAAATGATGCCAATTTCTGAGAGGCCAGCAGGGGGAAGAAAAGGGGCTTCATCTTATTCGGTCGAAACTCTCATCGCACTTCTTCTAGGTTGAAAAAAAGGTCAAAGTTGTGATGATTTTACAAAAAAACCCTTTCTATATGTCTAATAGTGATCAAAAAAGGTCTGAATGATCTTAAATTGAAAATTTGAATTTTATTATTTGTTTTAGTATTATTATATTAGTTAGGAAATATTTATTTGACTAGGAGTATTAATTAGAGTTAGAGTTTGACTAGGAAATTATTATTCAGTTTTAGTAGGATAGAGGTTTGAGAGTTTGGTTATGAAACTATTTTAAAATTTTATTACNATATTTATTTGACTAGGAGTATTAATTAGAGTTAGAGTTTGACTAGGAAATTATTATACAGTTTTAGTAGGATAGAGGTTTGAGAGTTTGGTTATGAAACTATTTTAAAATTTTATTAGGAAAGTATTTTTTATTTTAGTAGGATACTTGGCCTATAAATATTGTTGTATCTCTACTAATTAGAGAGTGATATAATAAAAAAGTGTTTCTCTAGAGAATTTTATGTTTCTTGACCGATTCCTTGTGAAGATGAGGTAAACCTCTACTTCTTCTCTTCTTCTTCTATTCTCTCAATCCTAGTCCTCCTGTCCTACATCAATAGTAATCTTTTGAGTGACACTGTCAGCTGTGTTAATATTGCTACAATGCAAAATCATACAGAATCTTGTTAAAAAATGTCAAAGTTTTGTTATTTTTACAAAAACCCTTTCTATATATCAGTAATCTTTTGAATGTTACATTAGCAAGTATTTTGAATGTTGTTTTTTATTGATATACTGTTCAAGCATGTTTGAGGCTTGATGCATTTGGTGCCTGGCATAATGTCAAACACAGTGTCTCCACAATGTTTGCATGCTACTAGAGAAAGAAGCACATGTGTACCATATATCAATCAAAAGAGGAAGTAAGGGCAAGCTTGTGATTCCACAAAATATTTCCATTTCACTAACCAGAAGAAAAAACTCATTACCAACAAGCAAAGGCAACACAGTCTTGTGGCAGCACCCAACATCGCAAAAACTATAAAAGATGGTTCAAATAACTCAAGTGATTGTGCATGCATATATGCGCGCGTAAGCAAAAGACAGATTATATTTTGGTAGGCATTAGAATTTACACAGCAGCTACAATGTTTACCTGGACCATCAGATTGAACCGATGAGCACTACTTGAAAGTTTATGGTGATATGCAGTCGTAGTTCCCAGAGACGTACTGGAAGGCCTGACAGATTGGCGTGTGACAGTGGGAGGAGAGGTGAGTTCCCAATCATCAGCCGCAGCAAGGGCAGCAGTGCTCTCTTCAATTCGCTTCAAATTAGCATCTAGTGCTTGTTCAACACTAGGTCTAAAAAGTTTCAGGAGCACAGGACAAAGTGCTAAACCACGATCTTCCAACAATGAACAATGACCTAAAGCTATTTGAACGCATTCGGCTGCAGCTCTTAAACCTCCAGCAGCTGCAGATGAAGCTAAAGCGTGTCTCTTAACAAGAAGCGCAAAGGCCTCAGTTTGCTTTGTAGCCCACATCACCAGCTCCGATGTATAAGCCGGCTCCTTACCAAAAATGGCCAAAGAATCACTTGCTGCTTGAGCAACAGCAGAAAATACCAGCTGTGAGAGGGCAGCAGTGTATGCTCCTCCATATGAGGTGCTTGATGGACGCAGACTTTGCATGTTGTACTGATATCTTTGGAAATGTGCATTGAGTAGTAAACAATGAGCACGAGGGCCATCCCCAAGCCTTTTAAGAGCGGAAATAGCTGCGCGAAGCTCAGCACCACGTGTAGAATGTTGGCAAGCAGCTTCAGCAAGCTGATCAGCTAATTTTTGCCTACGTTCCATAATTGCAGTCTGTAGTGACAAAAGCATAGTAGGACTCAGGGTTTTTGTTTCTTTTGCTTCAGAAGCTACACGTTCTCCTTCATCAAGAGTTCCCAAAGCTTCATCCACTCTCCTTTCAGCTAACAAAACATCAAGGAGATCAGGAAACTCTATCAACCAGTTCTCTAGGTCTGAAGGTTCTCTACCATCATCATTACACAAACAATTGGCAGTGGGACCAACAGGAACAGCAATAGACATGGAATCGACGTAAACTCCCTCAGCTAAACCATGAATTAAAGTCGCTTGAGTAGATAGCAGGTTCCTGATTGATGAAAGCTCACCCTCCAAATCTGAAATCTCTTTTGCTGTGCTGTGTATAACAAAAAATTCAGATTATTACAAGTCCAAGTGATGTGCTAAACATGCAATCACCAGTAAGTTTTATAGATTACGATAAAGAAAATAAAACTCTCTCTTGAAAAAAAAGGCAGATATGGATCAAGAATACAGTAGATAAAGATCAAACAATTCCCACAAACAAAGCCAAAAAAAATGTTGATTACAGACTATTAAAANTTACGATAAAGAAAATAAAACTCTCTCTTGAAAAAAAAGGCAGATATGGATCAAGAACACAATAGAAGAAAGTAGATAAAGATCAAACAATTCCCACAAACAAAGCCAAAAAAAATGTTGATTACAGACTATTAAAAAGATAATTCAGCAAACCAAGAAAGAGAAAAGATGAATAAATTTTAGGGTTAATGGTACTTTTGGTCCCTAAAGTTACATTTTTTGTCAGTTTGATCCCTAAAGTATCAATTTTGTCAATTTGATATTTAAAATGTTCAATTCGTGTCACTTTGGTCCATTATCACACAATTCGTTAAATTTTTTGACGGAAGTAACCACGTGTCACTCTTTCAGACGGTATCATGTTCCCAACACGTGATCATTTCATCAAAAATTTAGCAGTACTTCTATGTAGAGACTATTTTGACACAAATTGAATATTTTAGGGACAAAATTGATATTTTAAGGATCAAACTGTCAAAAAATACACACTTTAGGGACCAAAAGTGCTATTAATTCTAAATTTTATGTATTCACTATGACCATGTCCAAATTCTCAATTGGTTAACAACCATCTTCATCCAATGTGATGGTGGTAAGAGAGAGAACTTTAGTTCTTCAGATTGATGATGAAGCTAAGTGCGTTGCTTGACTTATGCATCTGGTTTTAAATGGCCTCTTTCTTGGCTGGCTGGAGCTTATTGAAGCTATGAAGTATGAAGCTTTGTATAAATGACTTGCACTATATTGTTCAGACTCCGCAGAAGTAGTTCAGTTGGTTCCATAGCTATCTGTGGGTGTGATTTGATGTCTGCTGATGCCTAGTATGGTGTTATGCCATGTCTTTTACGCTATATCTGAATTGCTTATTCTGAAGTCATGACTTATCAAATATAGAGTATATGTATGTATGATAATATGCTCCAAGCACCTGTAACTAAGAACTCACCGTATAAAGGCTGTATAATTAGCATAAACACTTCTGCGCATTTCCTCAGCAGAAGCTTTCTTCAAATCCAAAAGATATGAGCATAGATGCCTTATTTCCTGCGAATATAAACAGAAAATTATTATTGCTACAAGTTTTTTTTTTTTGGTGTTATTAGAAAACAAAAGAATTCTTGACAGCAATACACCTAGCTTTTTGCAATATATGTTAGAAGGCCAAAGATTCTTATTAATCTCATGTCCCCCCCCCCCTTTCTCTTTGGGGTTCTAAAAAAAATACACACAAAAGATATATGATCCAAGTGCAAAAATGTTAGTAAGTCAATTTAATGATAAATACTGGGCTGAAATCAAAACCTGCTCGATTCTATTACGCGTGACAGGACTAGCAAGATGCTTTATATTCCCCATACAATTTCAACACAACTCAGTGAGCATGTGAAGTTTCTAGATTAGTTGATATGTATCAGTCGCAAGCCAAAAACGCAACTATATACAGCACTGATTCAAAATCATAGACAAAGCTCCAATGCTTGAACTCGTAAAATGCTCCAAAATCAACCAAGGAAGTTTTGCCATTTTAACAATGGATGACNTCAAAATCATAGACAAAGCTCCAATGCTTGAACTCGTAAAATGCTCCAAAATCAACCAAGGAAGTTTTGCCATTTTAACAATGGATGACATCAGCACAGCATTTCTTTTAAAAATTGTCATATTGAACAACTAGCACAGGAGAGGATGACTATAAGTTCAACACCCAATCAAGTGCGACCAACATCATAGTACAGTTAGCATACGGGCCTATCCGAGGGGAATCAAAAATAGATCACCGAATTACCTAGGATTCTCCGCATTACCTTGATCTAGACCCCCTATTAGTACTACCTACACCCAATCAAGTGCGACCAACATCATAGTACAGTTAGCATACGGACTTTCCACTCACAGTATCTAAAGTCACATAATTTGGTTGTTTTCTAATGTCCAGACATATACAAAGCACCAAAACCTTGATGTGCGGGACATAACACCTTGCATAAACACTAATAAGGGGACCAAGTTGGTTATCCGCCTCCCTCAATAAGTTTCATTTGTTTTTCTAATATTATCTTTTCTAAATTGGAAATCCTGATAGTTAATAACAATAAGTTGGTAGGTTAATCTTCGTCTAGCAAAGGATAGCAAAATAAATTGTGAAAACATACTTTTCAGTATGTCCAAAAATAAGTGTACTCGCACAAATTTATAAAACCAACTAAGCTTTCTAGGAGGGAAATATCTAATATCTCCAAAATCAAAATTTTTTAAACGGAAAAAAATTCATAATTAGTTATCAGGTGTCTTTCGATTACAAGAAAACAGATGAAGGGGCTAGTGGCCCATCAATATGAATCACTACACAAAAGATTGACCTACATCATGCGATTCAAGTTTCAGAATTAAATTTNTCTATGTGTTTCAGATGTTTCTCCTGATATAGATATAAATAAGATGTTGTTATCATAGACTATTATGAGTTTATTCAATTTAAATAAAGTTTAACCAACGCATAAAAAAATACAAGTATGTTAGACCTTTATAATAGGGTCGAATATCATTCATATAACCCCTACCTTGTCTTTGAGAGGGACTTCCAACACCTTCCACTTTGTAATATCCCAACTTTAAATTTTTCTTGGTGAACTATCGAACTCCCTCCCACTACCCTCCCCAGCCCCACTCTTATCAACCCCAAATTGCAATGAAAAGCTCGGCATTTAGTCCATGTCTTTAGAGGAAGTTTGATTTCTCGAGGGTCCTCACATGGTGCGTCAATGGTTCAAAATGAAAATGATGATTTTTTTTTTCATTTTTTCCTTGTCGATGTTGGTGAATTTTGGTTGATTACATTGGTTTTGGTCTAATTGAAAGGGTCCAATTGGTTTTAGTTGAATGGATTTGGTTTGACTGTGAAATTGATTGACTTGCAGCAATGTGTTTATATGTGAGAGATTTTTCGTTGTGACATGGTATTTGATAGAGATGGCGATAAAAGTTTTGCANCTGTGAAATTGATTGACTTGCAGCAATGTGTTTATATGTGAGAGATTTTTCGTTGTGACATGGTATTTGATAGAGATGGCGATAAAAGTTTTGCAGTGTATGCACATGAGCGGTGAGGATTAGTGGAATTGAAGGCAAAGATGAATCGATAGAGATGAGAGTGTATTTACGCAATAAATAATGTGGTGTGTTGTGGTTTATTAGCAAGATAGAGTATACAAATGGTAACATTAGTAGTATTTTCAAAAGATGCGGTTATCCACGTTTTAGTAGATTTGTAATACCAATGGACTTTTGTCCAATAGTATTTCTTACTTTGTAAAAATTTTGTTTTCTTGAAGTCAAGGGTTCAAATCACCTTCCCAAAAACAAAAGTAGATTTGTAATCGATCACAATACGAATATGATACAGGTTCAAATGTGAAAGTTTTCGTCAAAACATTTGATAAAATACATAAAAATTTAATTATATAACTAAATTAGATATTATCTCATGTTTATCATGCTTGTATTTGTATTGTGGATGAAAAAAAATATATATATATTGATTTTTTTACATTGGAGATGATATTATATCAATAAAATTGTCCATGTGTATTAATATTGGATTTTCGAAAAAAAAAAAATTATATATCTTGTTGGTTGAGTTGGTTTGATAGTCAATTGAAACAAATCCAACGCCTAGGTCATGGTCATGGCTACTTATCTACGAAATTTCTAATTTTATCTCTGTAAACACATTTTCCAGAAGGGAACGAAAACTTAACAACTAAAACCTGATTGACACATGTAATTCAAGTGGAGACACAAACATCCTGTACCTTAAACTCAGCAATGCACCTTTTTCAATGGAGCTGCCTCAATGGCTAATTGATTTAAATGTTCAAGCAGCCAATAATTGCAACAACAATCACAAAGGG